TTCTTGCTATGAAGTATAAATGTGTGTGTGTCTTACATACCTTGTCAGACTGAAAGACTTTTAATGACAAGGGTAATTAACTCGTCCACTCTAAAAAGGGTTGAAAAAACAATACTTCACCTAATTTCCCAAGGTGATGGTATGTTGCATAAAGGTTGATGTATGATGCATGATGAACATGTAGTGAATAAATAAAAATGTACAGCGCTATCATTTTTGAGTCTCAATATAGGTTCCACATCAATATTTAGCTCAAACTCAGAAAGCCCTTTTGGATGCCAGACTCTTTCATATTCAAACTGGTAGACTCAATATTTCTAAGAAGACAATTCTCCTCAAATTGATTTATAGATTCAATTTAATCCCTATCAAAATCATGACAGTCTTTTTTGAAGAAATGTACAAGCTGATTCATTAGTCTATATGGAAACACAAATCACCTAATAGGTAAAACAATTCTGGAAAAGAGATCAAAGTGAAAGATCGACACTACCAGATTTAAAATCTTACTATAAAACCAAAGTAATCAGGATTAAGTATAGTGCCGGTATAAGGGTAGATTTAGACTTAGTGAAATATAACTGACAGTCCAGAAATTCATATTTGAGATGAACTGAGTTTTGACAAAGGTGCTCAGGCAATTTAGTGGAGTAAGGATACTTCTGACAAATGGTGTTAAAATAACTGGGTAGCCACACATTAAAACAAACAAATCCTTATCCCACCCACAAAATTTGCTCAGAATGGATCACAGAAATAAATATAACAGCAAAAACCATGAGATTCCTGAGAAAATATCTGTGATATACTGTATTAGACATTAAATAATTTCATTAAAATTATAAACTTGTTCTTCTAAAGATACCGTTAGGACAAAATATTTAAAGCTAAAGACCGGAAGGAAACATGATGCTAGTTAACACATGGAAGGATCTCATCTTCACTAGTTACTGTAGAAGTATGAACGAGTCATTGGAATGCCTATGAGCAAAAACCCTGACAAGACCAGCTATGAGCAAGGATACAGAAAAACTAGAACCCTCATACACTTTGGAAAAGTTTGGAGTTTCTTAAAACATTAAACATGGACTTTCATATCACCTACCTGTCCTCTTAAGAATCTTGCCAAGAGAAATGAAAATATATATCCATGTGATGGCTTATACATAAATATTCACAACAGTCCAAAATCTGGAAAAATCCAAATGTTCCTCAATTTGTGAAAGGATAAACAAAAATGGTGTATCTATACAATGCTATATTGTTGGGGAAGAAAAAAGAACAAAGTACTGAAACATGCTACAACATATGTGCATCTCAAAAACATGTGGAGCAAAATAAACCGGACATAAAAGAGTACACACTGTATGACTCCTTTTATAAAAAATTTCCAGAAAAGACAAATCTGAGAGAAAAATAAAAGGGCAGTGACTGTGTGAGGCTGTGGTGGTAACAGAGACTGGATATTAACATGAGGGGGAACTCTTCTGACATTATGGAAAAGCTTTAAAGCTGGATTATGGGAATGGTTACACAGTTTAATAATTTACCCAAAATCACCAAATTGTATACTTTAAATGGACGAATGGACATTATGCTAAGTAGATTATCTTCAATACTTTCTAAATTTAATTTAATTTTATTTTTTCCAATACTTTTTTTAAAGGCAATTTAACTCCTATCCACACAGTCTGAGAGTGCTACTTGTCTGTACCCTTCAGCACTGGGCAGTGTGATACTTTCAACCTTTTTCATCCAGATTAGTTTTAAAAAAACACATCTCATTATTCTTAATGGTGTATATCTTTGATTTCTAGTGAAGTTAAACACTTTCATGTACTTGAGTCTGTTATTTTTCCTATAAAGGTATCTCCATCTCTTCTATAAGGACATTGAGACTCTTTAAAATAGCAAACTCAATGGTTCCGCTGCCTGCCTCACAAGCGCAAGGGCCCCCTGGTATCAAAAACAAAACAAAACAACAAAAATAAAATAGCAAAACCTTTTTAGTGATATCTGATACAAATCTTTTCATATATGTAAAAATTTTAACTTTCCTTTGGCATGTTGAAATATTCATTTTCATGTAGCCAAATTTAACCATATTTTCCTTTAAATTTCTGTCTTTGGTGTTATAACAAGTGATATGTTTATATATTTATGCAAACACACATCCCTGTCTCTCTATCTCTCTCCATTCATCCCCCCTTGAACCCAGGGAGCATTAGCTTTATCCTCAGCCCCTTTTAGTTTCATGTTGAACTAAAATGAGTATTATCTTTTCTTCTATTTCACTCACTTTCTACCTATTATGTAATATAGGAAACAAATTCTTTAAAAATTTATAAACTAAGAAGGAGATTATACTGTTAAATGCTGTACCAGGCCATCCTCAAATCTGCAATCTTCTTGACTCAGCCTTCTGAGTAGCTGGGATTACAGTTATGTGTGCCCCTATGTTCAGCTAATCAGTGATATTCTTTTGAAATATTAATTATCAGAAAACTTGAGCATCATTAACTAAGCATCCTTGATGCTAAGCCTAATGCTACTGGCTTTTCTATCTGAGGAAAACAAGTACAATTAAAAATTTGAAGCCTAGGGGTAGATAGAATTTTCTTCCTTAAGCCTCTAAATGGAAAGAGACGTTACTGTTTATTTACCAAATTCATGGAAATTGCCTTGTTAGAGAATATCTGATGACATTAGAAATATTAGTTCTAAGATTAAGGAACTGGAAAAATAAAAAGGAGGTAAAAATGTGTTTGCTTTTGCTGATCATGCCAGGGCTGTGATTCTAGGCCTCTCTGGCTGATCTCTTTGTATAATATCCGATCAGATCATCACATAACGACAAAACCACAGCAGGCATTTGTGGATGTTTGACCAGCACAGTCTAGAACTCAGTCACTCAATGCCCTACTACTTGAGGCCGTGAACGCTTTCTTCCCTCTACTTCACTCATTCATCCACTCATTATGTAACACAGGAAACTGAACTTCAAATCTTACAAACTCAGGAAGAGAATACTGTATTGCTTTGCAAAATAATTCAGCAGTGATACAAAAAAATCCCATTAGGTTTAATGTAGCTGTGATTATCAAACACAAATATATACATACATACAACTTTAAAAAGGTGTCATAATAACATTTTATATTGATACTATGAGATTATGGCCTTGAACTTGTAAAATTAAGGCCTATACATGTTCAGAAGAGGCATTCAAATACTTGAAGGAGAATGTCTGATTTCATGTCTGTATATTTGAGTCCTATTCATATATACAAAATCAACCAAATTTAATCTCACTTTTTTATCCTATATATGGCCTTTGGAATATGTAGCTATACATTCTGGAACATGTAACAGTCTAAACGTTATTCAATTCTTTTGTTCCTGCTAGTCCTAACACCTCATTGAATTAAATATAAATCCCAAAAGAACAAATTGTGCATCCCCACAGCATTAAAACAGTGCTAAGATTCTAGATGTTTTAACTGACTTTTTAGTACCACTTCTTGCTTTGCAAAACAGCTTAGAAGTTCATTGAAGATTTGATTTCTAGGAAAAGGTGAAACAATGAGCTAAAATGGCCAAAGGGCATTATAGGGGCATTGTTAAAGCTGACTATAATGTACAACAGGCAGTTGTGTAATCAAGGAAAATATTATGGAGTAGTATATAAATGCTTTGGCAGTTACCCCAGCTTTACAGATCTCCAAAAGCTATGTAAGGATTGACTCCAGTTTCTTAGGGTTTTTCTATTTCCACCTAAATGGTCTTTTTCTGACAATGGTTCCTAATGGGAGTTCATGTGAACCTCATGATTTCCCAAGGCAGCTCTAGGGCTTGACAGATGGAAAAGCCATGACCACGTTTCATTTATGGCTGCCCCTACGCGAGTACCACTCCAGGTCTTGGGCTCCACACATACCTAAATAGCCTTCCAATTAATCAAGGAGAGATTCTCCAGTCTCTAAAGAACACTCAGATGTCTTGAAGGGTCACATGTGCTTGTACAAAGGTTTGTCATTAGTGCCAGGACTCTTGGCTAGCTTATTCCTGTGAGTTACCTAGTTTCCAAGAGAATAAAACCATAACCAAAAGCCAGTGACTCAAATAGCTTGTCTCCTCTCCTGTCTCCTTGAAAGAGGGGGACAGTGACAGAAAACAGGATTGCTGGTTTTACCAACTCCGGGCCTTGAACAACAGCCAAGTGGAAGTTCACTACACACAAAGGCTGCATGTCTAATGTACTGCTTATCTAAACAAGTTAATTAACTCATCAACACACTGTGACCCTCTTCTTAATGATTAGTTCATTCGATTCTACAAAAATCTCCAATCCATCATTAATGCTCAGCGAAATTGCTGAAAACTACGATGTCATTTGAACACCCTGATTCTAGGGCAACAGTATTAGGAAGACAATATAGCCATAAAAATTAGTTTAAATAACGAGTCTTAATTATCATTATTCTTAAAATATCATACCATCCAGAAGTCAGTCTGGATTATCCTAAGCAAGTAAATAAAGGTTGAGAGCAAGGACTTCCCACTATAGAGCGTCTGATCTCAACCTTTGCTATTAGCTACCGGTTGGTGTCCAACTGCATGGTTGGTGGAACCAAGTCTTTAAGACCTGATTCAATGCGATAGCGCCTGCTCAACACATGTAAGGATTAAAAGAGACAATGCAAGCAGCCGCACAGCACGAGGCACAGGGTATGTGCACATCAAACTCTCGAGGATTAAAATCATGTTCTGGTTTGTGGTGGAGATATATTTGCACCAAATTATTCGTAATGACACGTAAAGCAAAAGCCCCTGAATTGTTAGAACTTCAATATTTTAAATTAACGCAGTCTCTCTCTCACCAATCAGGGCACAGTCTCTAACAGACAGTCCGCTTTTACTCGTGATTTTACTTCAAAGGGAGGAGGCGCTCCGGCTGGCCTGCAGACCCCGGGGCAGAAGGGTGACAAGTATTTTCTTACCCGGGAGGAAGAGGGCAGAGTCCAGTCGCAGCCCGCGCCGGGGAGACCTGCGCCCCGAGAGCGCCCGGCCAGCGGGACGGAGGGGTGACCCACACGGCCCGCAGACAGTCCGCTTTTACTCGTGATTTTACTTCAAAGGGAGGAGGCGCTCCGGCTGGCCTGCAGACCCCGGGGCAGAAGGGTGACAAGTATTTTCTTACCCGGGAGGAAGAGGGCAGAGTCCAGTCGCAGCCCGCGCCGGGGAGACCTGCGCCCCGAGAGCGCCCGGCCAGCGGGACGGAGGGGTGACCCACACGGCCCGCGAC